GTTTCCCCAATGTAACTGCTGCCGCAACCACAGCTCAATTTGTAGACACCAGGGTATTGCATGTCAGGAATCACATATTTTACAGATGGGATTAAATCACGGATTTTGTGTACTGTATTGAAACGAACCTGGATCTTGTTTGTTTAACATTTTGGAAATATTTTGGTAACCCCTGCTGTGTACGGTAAAGTGATGGTTTTGGTTGGCTCCTCAGAAGGTTGTCTCTGCATGGCTAGGGAGACAGCTTTGCGGATTGTACGGTCCGAGTATCCGTTCATGCTCAGGGCTTGGTGTACGTGCTCCAACTCACTGGCTAGGTGGTGCTGGTCGGAGACGTTGTCTCCCATCCAACACTCCCCCGCCCCTCGCCGCCCCCCCGCCCCCATCCGTGGTACATGAGTACCATGCCCAGGAGCTTCTCACATCCCCCCCCACCCTGCATCCGTCCTCCCTTGCTCCTCCCCCTTTCTTACCCTACTATATAATCTCGTGTCACAAACAGCTCTCTCTCTCTACTCACGACAGTAATGTTGCTGTGACTGTTTCCACCTGATGACGGAAGCTTGTGTTGCCTCCGAAACGTCGTGATTTGTAGTATTGGAATGTTGAGTCTGGTCACTTTTAGATGTGGGGCTTGACACGTGCACACAACGTGATCATATGTTGTGCTGTATAGAGGTTCCCCTCGCTTTATGCCTGTTCGGTTTGTGCGGCCAACCTATTTCTCCCCAAAATTCGCTATACCATGCGGTTTGAAGTCGCTCGTGTGCGGCAAAGAGGTTGGACATGGGACAACATTGTTTGTGTGTGTGTGTAGTGTATGTGCAACTGGGCAAGCAGTTGTCTCCTCGTGCGGTTTTCGTTTTGTGTGCCATTTGTTTGGGAATGCATCGACTACCGCATAAAACGAGGGAGACCTGTACAACTGCGTACAACCTCCAAAACCATAACATCGTTTACTCTCGTGAAAATAACACTCGACAACCCTGTATCACACGTCTCTGTCATGAGGGTTGTTTGGTCAGGAAGAGTTCAGATATAGACATCTCTCGACACTGGTGAGGCGTGGCCGGGTATCGAATCCAGGATACTGGATTCATAGGGTTGTGTAAAAAGCTAACCATTTTCATAATCGATTAATAATTACCGGTTGCTCAAGCCAGGAAACGATGATCGTTTAATCGACTGTTAGCTGATGAAATAGATCGACTGGCTTGGCAGGTATGAGTGGACAAACCGCAAAACGGCATAAGTCGTCACGTGGTATATTTGCCCTCATTTCTCAGGTAAAAGGTGATAGCCTAACATTATCTGCTTGCTTGCGCATGCCACTGCTGATGAAAGGGCCAACTATTTTTTATTTGACCAGGTAAATTAACTTTCCCCATTATTTCAACCGCGGCGCCAGCAGATGGAATCGAACCGGTGACTTCAAACACAATCGCGATTTAACTATGAACGTTGGGAGCACATCGGAATACAAATTCGGCAACACGTTTGTTTAGAAATAAATCGTCACTTTATTTTGTAACAATAAAGAACACATTAAGCACATGAGTGCAACGAAGCGTAGATTCGCATTGTTTTCATGGAGGTACAGCACATTTTAAGAAAACCATTTTGTTAATCAATGGGTTTCATGGTTTGCATCAGCTATGAGGGCAGTTTAATGTAAATCCCAATTTAGTCAACCCTCAAACGGCACTTTGAAAATGGCCTTTTCCACTGTTAGGTCACAATTAACGTATAACAAAAAAAGCTATAAGCAAAATTAATCTTGCAAGGCGACAATATATACACACATGGTGGACAGTTTTGTAAATGAAAATAAAAATCAATTATACACAAACGGTTAAACTTATTCCAAGTTTTAGAAGCATCTGCAAAGTAGTGATTAGATAAATGTAAAATTGTTAAACCGCAAAATTATACAATAAACAAAAGTGTTCATAATACCACGCTGCAGAACACTTACCAGTGGTTTTCGAGTAAAGTCTTGGGTTTACCAGGACCTTTTAGAATTCCCCCTACGATATCTACAACTCAAGGTCTCGTGGAATAGAGGTTGTCTTTTTCCAATATTTGGAAAGCGACAGCAGGTGCAAAACTACACAACGAAGTTAACAGAAGTACTGCCAGAGTTAATGAGAAAAGGCAGAGTGGGCTGCAAGTTGGTAATTATTTTAAAAGTAACCTTAGTACAGAACTCCGCCTGTATAAAATTATGGAAATGAGGCAGAAATTCCACGAATCTGCATAAACCAAATGTTTTTTCTTCTTTGGTTCTTTCGGTAAAGTCATGTAGAATGAGAATAAAATAATAAATTGATAAAATAAAATAACACAATAATATTATCACGACGTTTCGGCCACAACACAAGCGGCCTTCATCAGGTGAAGGGGGCGAGACTGTCTGGTAGGACAGGCTCTAAGGCTCTTTGTTCCTCTCACACAGCTTAAAAGCCGTGATCTGAACGTGGCTCTCACTCCAGCGCTGTCCTACCAGACAGTCTCGCCCCCTTCACCTGATGAAGGCCGCTTGTGTTGTGGCCGAAACGTCGTGAGAATATTATTGTGTTATTTTATTTTATCAATTTATTATTTTATTCTCATTCTACGTGACTTTACCGAAAGAACCAAAGAAGATGAATCATTGCAGTCACGAAAGCTTTAAATCGAAACAAATGTTTTTTGTTGCTGCAAAATAATAGTATGAATCTAGCGTTAACCGAGAGCTTCAACTGCAGCTGTCAAGTTAACCCTGCCCACATCTACGGGTCGTGGTATGTCGCCCACGGTGCGTTTAAAATCTGCTGCGGCGCGCTGCAGATTACGGGGCATTCGCAAACCGCCGATGCGTGAATTATAGGGTTTTTGCGGATTGGATCCGCGGATGTTTAAAGATTTCTACTGTACTAATATCGGAGAAACCTTTACGGATGATTTTTTTATAACTTCAGTATGGCGATGCAAAAAAAGGAAAAATGTGATTTGTTATTGCTTATCTGCCATGCCCAAGTTGGAAAAACAAAAGTACGTGAGAACATCATATATATAAATAATGAGAATATTAAACAATTCTGATAATCAAAATGATCAATTACCATTGTCAAATCACAGCCGGACGAAGTGTTATTTGTGTTGAAACAAGTGATCAAAATTCCAGGCACTACTATTTCTTAATTCTACATGCGTACTGTCTGTTAAATGAACTCAGAGAATTCCTGCTGTCAACAGGTCTCCCTTTTGCTTGGATAGTCCCAAGCCTCCTTAGGGTTCTAAGGGCAATTGGGCAAGTTCAAAAGTGGACGGGTTAACGATATTCAACATGTTAACCCTTTCCCATTCCGATGACAAACATGTACTTCATTAGATTTTCTTCCAATTCCATTAGAAAAACTAAAAAATAACTATCGATATATCTTCAGGTGGGAAGACGTACCAAGGCTCCCACATGGCCATGCAGGAGGGTATGTGGCACAGTTTGGTGCCAGCTATCATAGAGTGCGGTTGCGTCGCTACAGTTCTCTGCGGTGAGTACAATGTGTTTAAAAACAACGGCGCTGTGCCTCTAAATAAAAGTAACGTGAACCGCTTGCGCGTTCCATGATTCAGTGGTGAACGGGACCCATCCTGCAACTTGCAGACGTCTTGGAATGGGAAAGGGTTAATTACCAAACCATGAAATACCAACATGTAAGACAACATAATAGCATACATGATTTCATCTTCAAACATTGCAACAAAACCACTTACAGTTACATCTGCACTTAGGAAATTTGTACAATGTAAACAGAAAGTTACACAAAACATCCATCAAGTAATTACGCACAACTGTAGTAAATAACGTGAAACATAAAAAATAACCACATTCTTTGGTTCTTTCGGTCAAGTCACGTAAATAGAAAAAATAAAAAATGAAGTGAATAAAAATAAAATAGAAATCATAAAAAACCAAAAACACTAATGTAGACTGTAGCCTGGTTCTTAATCGGAGTGTACTGGCAATCTATAATGTGGACTGTAGCCTGGTTATTAAGTTTGGTGAGTGTACTGGCAGTCTATAATGAAGACTGGAGACTGGTTCTTAATCGGAGTGTACTGGCAATCTATAATGTAGACTGTAGCCTGGTTATTAAGATTGGTGAGCGTACTGGTAGTTTATAATGTAGACTATAGCAATGGTTAATCTCGGTGAGCGTATTGGCAGTCTATAATGTAGACTGTAGCAATGGTTATTAAACTGAGCGCACTGGCAGTCTATAATGTAGACTTATTCTGGTTCTTTCAGTAATGAAAATAAAAAACCATGAAGTTTGAATCGCAACACAAGCGGTCGTCATCAGGAAAAGGGGGGTTAGCCTCTAAAGGCAAACTGTTTTTAAAGGTTTAGAGATGGGCGTAGCCTAAGTATGTCTGCTGACACATGGGCGGGGCAGCTAACGTTAATGAAGGAGAAAACCCCGACACCAGCAGTAAGTCGACACCAAAGGGCCGCCAAGCAATCATTGCACCTCGCTCCACACACCCACACTGCTGACGGTGGAGGTTGACAAGAAAACAACGGTGCTATGCCTATTTTTTATTCACTTTATTTATTATTATTTTCTATCTACGTGACTTTACCGAAAGAACCAAGGAATATTAATTCGTGCAGTCACGAAAGTTTTAAGTAAAAAAAATCTAAATAACCGTTTTGGTATTGTCACTTAACTGTAGTGGAAATTAACAAGTATACACACTTTTACAAAATGCCCCTTGAAACAGTTTTAAAAAATAGGTAATGTAAAACCTTCGTGGTTGTGGTTAAGGAGTTTGAAAGTTTAGAATGTTTTTAGTGCATGCAGCTTCATAAGATGCAAGGGACAGATCAAGTAGAGATTGGGTGCATTAGTTTAACATGTGGGAGGTTTTCACGACAGTCGGTTGGTGGCGGGTTTAACGACACATCTATATTTACACGGTCTAACCCAAAAACAACTATATTATGGGTGCATTAGTGTTGATGCTTCAGCACTAAGCTATCCCCAGAACATGAATTTGCACAAGAAACCTGGCCACAATATTTTTCATAATAAAGGTTTTGGGGTTAGATCGCGTGAGTATAAATGTGTCGTACCCCTAACCCAAAAACCTTTATGAATAATATTTGTCGCGAAAGGCTACGAGTTAAAAAGCACAATATTTGACAAGAGAGTCCGTTCAAGGCCAATTTCGCGTGGGAACGTTGCATTCAATTGTCATTTGTAACTTTGTGTCTTCACTCGCCATTACCTAAAACACAGTATCAACACAATTTAGTGGAATTTGGGCTGGTAAATGGTTGTTTTAATTCAAAACTATGGGTCCAAGGAATCCCCTAAAGTAGGTTTCCCTTGTGATCTTGGTATCAAGATCAACAACATAATTATGAAAGAGGTGTCGCCTATGGCAAGTGTGGTGAACATTGGGAAAATCAGCACAAAGTGGAAAGGGTGGTCTTCCAAAGTATACGGCTAGGTGGAGTAACATTGTCCTATTCGACGGCATGTGTTTTTTCATTATGGCTATCTTCAGTGCAGGTACACAGAGTGCCTTGTTAGCATGATCAGTGCAGGTTAAAAATACACTTAAAAGACATATTTGAAAAACCTTTGTCAGGTATGTCACATTACATAATCGACATTCATCTGAACCATTACAAAACTTTACATAAATATTCATAAAGCATGTTTAATGCTTTAAATGTATACCTTTTTTTATTTTATCTCGTTCTGCCCATGCATTTGTGCCAGATATATAACCGGGGTTGAGGGTGGTGTTGGGGGGGGCGTGATGATATCACCGCGACGCAGGAACCCGGCCCAGCACTGTGGGATGCGGGTGACATCACCACACAAATGTAAACGGCGAGGTTACCATCGCACACTTACCAGCCCGTGTGCCAGCCAGCCAAACTTCTTTTAATATTATACAGTAATACCTCGGTTAACGAAGCCTCTGGTAACGAAGCTCCTTCATCACCAAGTTGACCGTGGAGGGCCCCTATCGGCCCCCTACTTTTGTAAAAATCGACAAAAAAAACGAATACCTTCAGAAACCATGCAAAGCGATTCAAAAGAGTAAAACTAATGAAAATGCTGCGCGTGGCCTCTCGCCACGGCCAAGTGGAGTTTGTTTACTGGCCCAATCGGCGAAGAGCGTCGCGAGTCTCCCCTCTCTTGGCCCAATCAGCGGCGTGCTTCCCTGGTCTTCCCTCTCCTGCCCGCCACTGCTCGCGAGCTCCGTGTGTTGGTAAAATGCGATCGTGCTTTTTTATGCAGTGGTAAAACAATTTTACTACCCCTATTTTGTCATCCAAACGACAATCTAGCGCTAGTGGCCTTGCCGGAGAAAAAGGTGCAGCGTAAATCCTTTCTCTTTGGAAACTAAAATGCAGATCACTAGGAGGGCAAAGGCAGGAGAGATGACAAGTGATATAGCTCGTTCATTAGGGTTGGCGCAGTACACCTTGAAAGACCACTTTAAACCAAGCAGAAAAAGTGAAGGCTATTGTTGTACGCCCCTTCTCCTGGAACGCAACCCCACGTATGTATGTTGAACTTCTTTCGCACCATACGTAGCCAACCGTGCTAATCGGAGTTGTTATATCTACCTCTGGTGACGAAGTTTCTGATAACAAAGTGATATGATGGAACGCATCTCGTTCGTTAACCGATGTATTACTGTATCGCATCATTAATGGGAGCATCATCAATCCAATCACAACTGAAAATACCTATTATGTAAAGGTAATAAAAAGCAGATTTGTCAATGATCGATTTAAGCCAAGGTTAAACCACTGCTGGATAAAAACATTCCCAAGCCAACAAATCTCATGATCCTGTGATGTGATAACCCAGTTGGCATCTAATCGTTATTATAATAATTCCGCAAGATAAGAATGCATGCACCGAATTACGTGTGGAATAGTCGACATTTTTTAAAAATCAATCGTGTAATTTGCAGCCACGACTATGCTTCAATCACCACGGCGTTTTAAAACCGGAATAGATTATTGAACAGAATCGCGATGGTAGATTACATCGCAAGGGAAGGATGATCGTCACACCCCGACTGATCAGTGCACACATTACACTCGCTTGTAAATGTATACAAGAGATGGTGTAAATAAAACTATTTTTTATTTTACCAGGTAAGGCCCACCGAGCTATATATCTCTTTTTCAGAAGCGACCTGGAGAAAAATCCACGTGACCACGCGGAGAGACACGCAAACTCCAAATATACAGCAGGCGTCAGGGTTGGGATTGAACCCACGACCTCCTGCATACCAGGTGAGAGAGTTAACATCTTGCCACCGTGGCAACTAAATGTTGGAGGACGGTGGACATTAGCGCTGTCGCTCACTGAACAAGTACAAATAACAGAAAATAAGATTTGAACGTTCCCTACGTCAAGTATAAAAAAACATGCTCCTGTGCATCGCTGCTGCACACTAAGCAAACCTTGCAGCTGTTCTGTAGAGTGGCCCATTTTATTAACACCCGTTGGACGCTTCTTTAAGAAACAAACTTTGAACATCACCTCGTCATGCGCAACTGTGTTAAGTGCAAGCAGAAAGATCGGCTACTGTATTTCTGCGTCTGTTGTCACCCCAAATTTACAAACGAGCGGCGCGAAATGGCACGGGCACACCTCGTTATGTTTCAAAACACCCCCCCCCACCCCAAAAATATTTCTTTAGTTGGTAAACCTTCAAAAGTATTCCGGGAGGCAGATCTTCATTCAGATCAAAACATTCATGTCAACGCATCGGTATTAAACAAGCCACAACATGAAAGAATTCTCAACCTACTGCTCTGTTTCTCTCTCTTTGCTTTATCATCCCGTCAATTTAGTTCACCTTGTAATGTTCTGCCAAGCAGTACGTTGTCAGCAGCAAGCAGATAAACGGTTAATGGAAGTTTTTTATCACGATATTGTGTGTTGTATTTTTCCATAAAATTAAAGTCAAAAGCCATGATGTACTGTAAATGTAACCATGTTAATTATATAAATCCCCTTGGCACATTGTTTTCAGTGAGAGCCCTGGCAACATGGCATGGTAAAATCATTAACCATTTGCCTTCTACTATGTCATAAATCAACACTTTATGTATCTTCAAATATTTCCGGCCACATTTGCAATACATACAGTGTACGCACATATACACATGTATATGTTATACTTAAGTCTTCCAAAAAAACTCGAGAACATAGCATGCTTATTAGTTAGGCCAGCTGTTAGTAAAAAAAAAAGTGCTTTAGTATAAAAATGTATCAAAATTTTTACCTATTATAATATCAAAATTGAATGGAAAAAACCCCCATAACTTATCAATCAAGTACAAGTAGTTTGAAAATGAATTTTAAGTTCACTATCAGTAGTAAAATAGTCAAATTCAAGTTTGTTTTTCCTCTAGGAGTTTATAGAGACCGGGACATTATATTTTACGACAGTAAGCATATTAGGAATATGTTGACATCTGTCGGTAAAAATATAGTCGCTGATTGGCCATCTGGTCATGAGGCCAGTCGACAGACGAGGAGGTGGGGGAGGGCGTGGGTGGGATTAAAGCGTCGAGTTTTTAAGCACTGTCATACAACCGTGTAAAAATCCAATAAAAGTTCCTCGTGTCTCTCCGACTGCTACTAAATGACAGTTTTGGCAGCAATGTTTCCGCTCCTGCAGGGAAAAAAAAGGATTCGTGGCAACCCGCCACAGACTCGGCGTTTCCTACTTGCACTCGCAAACCCCCGCAGGCACTGACAGAAGGCAACGTTCTTTTTGCAAGCCCCAGCTGTCCCCAAAATCTGACAATTTTTGTGACCACGTCGAACAAAACGAGCATTCCAACAAAAGAAATGTCTCGCCTTGAAGGTTGAACCACCTTTTAAAGGCAATCTGTCAAATCGGTGAAATTAACAAACACCTTCGCGACTCATCACATCATAATATCCGGAAAGAGGATACCTTTTCTAAGTGCTTTCTGTTTTCCTTTGTTTGCTCCGGGTGCGATTTGTCCCTTCATTGCGAAACACACACGCTTCGCTCCCCTATCGCCGCCGAGTCACCATCCTGCTGTGAAGCGATTCACCCATTGGTAGCCTGTCAAGGTCGCAAAGCCGTTGCGAAGCAGCGATGGCGGCGAAGGCCAGTGTCGCGAAGGGGCCGTCAGCGGCGGAGCCAGCGCTTCTCCAGGCAGCCGACGACGCCCAGCGCGCCGCCGAGACAGAAGCGAACGAAATTGTCCCCGACGAGCGGCCCCACCGCAAAGAGGCCACAGCCGACCCCCTGCGCCCCGTCCTCTCCTCCGTCTTCACCGTCGCCCCCTCCGTCGCCGTAGCCGCCGCCGCCGCCGTCGCCGTTGTCGCCGCCGCGGGCCCAGCCGTCGACGCGGCGCGGCGCCCGCTCGCACTCGTACGTGAACGGGTGCACGTCTAGCGGGTTGTGGCGGCAGCTGACGGCACGCGACGGGTCCATGGCGAGCGAGCGGCCCGCGCACGCCAGAAACGACAGGTCCGGGTTGGAGCCGATGAGGACCAGCGCCATTGACACGGGCAGCACGCGCAGCTCGCCCGCCGGGCCCTGCAGGAGCACCTTCCGGTCGGGCCGGAATTCGAGGACACGGTGCCTGCGGGTGGCGGGAACGCCGCGTACGTTACGTCACGGGACGACGACAACCGGCGTCAAGGGCGGCATTGGCGTCGCGGGCAAACCGAGCAGGGGGCAGGGGCGGTGTTGTAATGCGAAAGCTCCCTGGTCTCGTGCTCGGCTCTCATACTACAGACCTCATTATTTATTTAAGTACTTAGTCTAACAGGATTCTCATTTTTAAACTCGTGGCCGCCCAGATATGACAATGCCGTCCATACCGACACAATCCACAAACACGCACACAATAAGAACGGCTGCCATTCACCACCAAGTCTCGGTGGCATCACCACCAAGTGGCGGTGGCAGTGCTTGTTGTGCTTGTTGTGCCAGGATAGGAGCTCTAAGCACACGTGCACACAAAAGCACACGTACCCATAGCATTGTCATGATTTGGAGGTGCAAATTTTTGTTCAAGAAATAGTTATCATTTTAAAAGTGTGGTGAAGTGGCTTGCAGCGTGTAAAGGAACCAATGACGTTAAAACATGCAGATCTAAAAAAAAATTAGAACCTTGCATGCACGATAATCGAGTTGACTCAATAAAGATGCATCCCTTCACACCTCGTATCAAGATAACGTTCCCCCTTTAAGTTGTATAGAATTTTGGAATGAGTGTAGTTAGTCGGCATCAATTACGACTCACGTCGCGCACTTATGGCTATTGCCATGACTGGCTTAGCTTTGACTTCTGAGCACTTGTGTGTACACGTTACACCGGGTACTCATATTTATGACTGCGTTCACCTTGGGAAGGCCCAGAACCGGTTCAGATAATGGCCGCTTGTACGCGAGATGTGGCCGAGAATTGAACTCGGGGTCACCAGGTTTATGCAGCAGTGCGCTGACCAATAAGCTACCACCCCCCCCCAACCCCCCCAATAAATACAGACACATAAACACCACACCACACACACACGCACACCCCTCCCTCTCCCATCGCACCTGGGCAGGCTGGCGTATCCATTGTAGGATGTGTCGCTCTCCCCCATCATGTGATGCACCTTGTGGTACTCCGGGTAGAGCATCTTGGGCAGCTGGTTGAAGATGAGCGCGGGGTCGGTGACTGCGCGCCGGAAGGCGTGCTGCACCGGCGCCGCGTGATGGCGCGCGGCCAGCACCGCGTCCGCCGCCGTCAGCCCCGCGCCCACCACCAGCAGCGGCTCAGAGTCACGTCCCACCTCGCCCCGGGCCACCGCCCGCTCCAGAGCCGCCGGCGCGTGCTGCACGAACGGCAGCCCCTCGCCGGGCACGCCGAGCCGCGCCGGCGAGTCCGTGCCGCCCGTTGCGAGCACCACGGCGGCGGCACGCAGCCGGAAACGCCGCAGCCGCCCTTCACCGCCGCCGCTGACCGCCAGGTGGTGGCCCCGCACCTCCCAGCGCGCCGGGCCGATGCCCGCGACGCCGTTCGCGGAGGACGCGGACGAGGGATGGAGGGGCGACGCGGACGGGGAGGACGGCGACGACGGGCGGATCAATTCGGGGTCGCGCAACCGGTGCACGGACGTGACGATGACGCCGCTCACGAAGCTCTGCTGCAGACCCTTGCACTTGACATAGTGGCGGTAGTAGCGGGCCACGTCGGCCGTCGTTGCTCGGTCATTGCGCAGGTGCCTGCACAATAGTGGTGCGAGTGGAAAGTACGACACACTTTACTCAAGCAGCTGCTAGACTGTGGATACATCTACTCTCATCGTTATAGCCCCTCCCTCCCCCAACCACTGTCAATCCACTGCTGTGCAAGGGACTCGTCCTACGCCATGTGGCCCGTGGGAGTAAATTTGACGCTGCTTCACCACAATGGTCAGTGTACATCGGTGAAGGTGGTGCAACATTTAGGAGCATCCTGCAGTACAACAATGGACTTTTCTGCGATGCCGTCTGCTGACAGCGTAGCTATGCCGCAGCCATCAGAGCATGATCCAGGCTCATACCTGCTCGGCTTTCCGAGATCTGATGAGATGGATAGCCGTCCAGGTGATTTGTTCATAAGAATAAAAATTTGGTTTAATTTTCCAGACTTTTCTCATTTTTTGTCTGCACTTTCCAGTGCAAAGTAAAGCAAGGAGGCGACGAATGGTAATGAGCATTACCACCTGAAGGGAAACGGCAAACCTTATAGTGCTAGTACAGCACACAGCCTTCCTTAATGGTAGCTGCGCACCAGCATTTAAATATTCTCCCCTGGCACACACTGATTTTACTTCAACACTTTGGGTTGCCTCCCATAGGGAACTCATCACAACTCCCCTGTCGTGCTAATGAGGTTTGCCATTTTACCAAACTGCTGGAGGGAAATACTATGTATGCAGATCACAAACTGGAGCATTAAACTCAATCAATAAATGCTGATCGAGCATTGGGACCTAGCAGCTACTAAAGTATGCGTTGGCGCTTTCGTTTTCTCAATCAATAATTGGACCGTCATCCGGAGGAATATGTCGCCATCCGGATTAGCTGTACCCATATTGGCTAACGTCTGGTGAACACAAAATTGTGTCTAGCAAACGGTCGAGGCGGGCACTGGCCCCGCTCTGCCACGTCAGCTCGTCCCACGACCAGCACGCCAATCGGGCGTGTGAGTCATCGGCGGCGTTTTGGGTGTTGTTGGCACGGGCCCCATTTGGCACGGGTGTAGGGCAAATATCTCTATGGCCATGGAAAGAAGGAGCTTGCCAAAAGATCATCGAGGACATAAATAACACGCCGTGTCAAATGCAAAACAGGAGACCGTTGCATCATTTGATCTCGTGAAATTATTTCATGGATACAGGGCAATGTCATGTTTAACCGGGCTGTTAGCTGCGCTATCCACAAAACACGCGGGCTTCGGGAAGGAAGGGTTACGCGAACCCCATGCATTCCCGCGTTGGAAGTCGCAACGTTAATTCAGCATTCATTTGTGGCATTACAAAACCCAGGTAGGCGGAACCCATTGGTGTCGAGCGGTTACATCGTGTCTAAAGCAACGCGTGATTTCCTGCATCGAGGTTGGCTCAAGTTCAATCAGAGTGCCAGCAACACGTTAACGTGCCATTGGGTTGTTTGCGCAGCAAAGCCTCATTTAGCGTCACAAAAACTGTTGGTAGGATAGTTTGATATGGCCAATTAGTTTGTGTTTTTGCAAGTCAGTGGAAATCAAAGAGTACCCAGAGAAAACCCACACATAGGAGTGGATAGGAAGCTACATACATACAGATATATGTATGTAGCTTCTTAACCTACCTGTTGAACTGCCTCCTGCATGTAATGGCTGCCAGAGGTGTATGTGCATCAATGCACGTGTACGTGTGTGCATGTCTTTATACAAGGTGTGTGTGTGTTGAGAAAAGAGACACGAAAGACATTACAGGACAGCAACTGCTCTCCAGCAATTATGGGGACATAGGTTTGACAACAGGCAACATCAGATGGCCAAGTCAGAGCAAGGTCACACAATGGAGAATGTACTCGATGTATCTACTGGTCGTCCTAATCAGCTGACATTACATTCAGGTACATCCTGGCATCCTGCCAGCAAGCCTTTCACTTCACATGGTCTCAAAGTGCACCTAAGCCTTACTTCAGTGCCATTGTTAAATAATTGCCAGCTTCTGGTAAATGGCAGCTGCAGCTCTTGTAGGAACGTGGAGGTCCTCACCTGCGCTGCTCTCGAATCCAGTCCTTGAAGGGCAAATCCGGCAGCTCCATCCAGTTGCCGAGGCTTAGCGTCTGCATGGACGTGTCCATTGCCTTTAACAAAAACAAAGCAATAACGACATTACTATCGTTAAGAGCTGGCAAGACTGGATGACCTGGTTGATAAATACAAAAACAAGTATAATTGTCCGTAAGAGGCAAGACTTTTCTTTGCAATGTATTTGTCGAGTAATCATACCGATAATAATAGAGAAATTGATAACTGTACCAAGAATCTGCACAGCAATTAATTATTTAAATAATCAATATAGCCTGGCGCACAAAAAAAGGTGTTAGTTGTGGGCATAATGGTGATCACAATATAGTGGCAGAGTGAGTGTTAATGTAGCGGTTCCCGCAGAGAACGATTTCCAAGAGCCGAGTTCAGGTAGTGCAATTCAATGGCAAATGCTAGGTGCAATTGGTTATTTGTCTAACACCATAGGTTGTCAGCCTAAATATAAGCAGATAGTGCAATGTGGCCAGAGCCAGCACTGTGGAAGCAATGGTTTAAGTTATAGTGCTTTAGAGCAGACTTTCACCACGGTCAAAGTGCATGGAGATTTCATTTCTCAACTCGATTGGTGAGCCTTGAACTGGTCGTGGCATTTCCACATTCCTATTGTCATGGCCAGTCCATCTGTAGGACAATACCTGTGCACTTGATTAACCACTGGTTTTGACAATGGGTCTTTGCATTTCTTTCTATTCCCCTCCCCACCAATGTATTACAATTGCATTACTGGAATCATGGAATGTGAGAAAGAATAATTTTGGAAATCTCTCAGAGGAGGGCGGCCTCTGAGCCACACAACAGCTGTGAAACACGTTTCAATCGAATTGTCGCGAAAAAAGACATCAAATGGCCTTTTTATCCTTTACACAGTAGTGGGTCAACTACGTAATACACTCTGTCATGAGAATGTCTGACAGAAGATGGTAAAACTGATATTTGCAGAGATGGAATTTAGCCAAATACAGTATAAAACCAAATTGAATGTGTGGGTTTATTCATGCCATCATTGGCATCAACTTGTTACACTTGAGATGGCAGTATACTCTTAGGTGGCTATTTGGATATGAACCCAGGATCTCAGCAGTGCCAGCTTAGCTCTCTGATCTCTGAGCCATCCAGCCTCTTCTGTCTTGAATGTTTAATGTTAAAAGTGACATTTATCTGCGGAGGGAGACACGGCCAAAGTAAACTTAAAGTGCTTACTTAGCTTATATTTCCTTGGCAACAAACTCTGCTATTTTAATATATTTCAATGAGCCAGGTGGCGACCACCTCTGCGAAAAGTGGAAAGTGAATAACTCCCGATACAAAAAAACTCAGCACAAACTTGTTTTAAAGATAACACGCATATCACCGTGAGACTGGAGCAGTGGCTGTGTGGGGAGGTGGGGTGGGTGGGTGGGAGAGGGATGCAGGGTGAGAGGGGGGTAATCTGCGTACGTTCCACGCGCCTCCCGGTGCTCCCTTGCCAAGCACCACATGCGGGATGGCACGGTGCGGCTCTGGCTCCCAGCGGATCGGCGAGGGCAGGTCGGCTCCACAGTCGGCGTCCGGGTGGAGTAGCGAGTCCAGCAGGAGAGCCACAGGGTTGGCAGAGCGCCCCTCGAGTCCCTCGCACAGGTACTCCAGGTCCTGTCCACGAAGAAACGAGTGCCGTCAGCCCGTCGCGCCAACGAGTACCCACGTGCATAAACGGAACGGCCACTTAAGCCGCACTTGGAGTGATATCGTGGGGGTGTGAGGTTTACGCGCGGCGATATTCGCTAGGTTGAGATTTTTGCCGTACTTCATTTTATTTGTTTTGCTTTTGTCATTTTGGTGCCGCAGGTTACTCTTGCAATTGAGACTACCCTGATCACTTGAGTTCCCATCTGCTTAAATAAAACAAACTGGAAATGTAGAATCTATGGCATAGTGGTTGGCGCACTGCGCTACAAACCCGGTAACCTGATTTCAAATCCCAGCCACGGCTAACATCGGTGGTCAATGATATCTAAATCAGTCTTCAGCCAACCCCTTTAAAACAACTTGCATTGACTATTGTGGTGACATATGATGATCAAACAACCCCCATGTTGGACACATCATGGGGAGGCCTTCATCAAGCAGTGTATTGACAAATGGCTGTAGGTTTAAAAAACATGTTTTAAGTGAACTGGCAACCAATCGGGGTTAATGAGGAGCATAGGAGGCAGAGCCAAGGGCTCTGAAGTAATCGTCACACACACACCGTGTAACCCTTACATTAAGTTGAACTGTGGTGGTCTGAACATGTATGGCATAACCCAAGCCACACGATATTCACAAAAATCCAGTGTGAACCCACCCTCAGTGTCCACGTGTTCTTTTTTGTGTGTTTCGGTTGCTGCCCTTCCCCCGCACCTCCGATCAGCACGGTTTGTTACGCACGGTGTGAAATAAGTTCAACGTACATATGTATCACATAATGGAATGACCCCTAACAATGGCACTACAGAAGCACTTGTGGAGTCACTTCAGTTCGCGTCTCTCTCTCTCAACACTGGATGGTCCTCCCCCAGGCTTCGCAAAGAGTAATTTACCTTGCGCCATCAGTCACGAATGCTAACCCATCAAAGCTGGCATCAGCCAAATGACGTTAAAAGAAAATAACTTCACATAAATAGTTTACCCTTTATGTTCGAAGCTAGTGAATGGACCTTCCAAACTACGCTGGCTACAAAATATTTGGTTCATACAAAATTACTTGTGGAATGAAAGCCACGTTTTGAAAAGAGGAAGTTGAAAGTTCTGGGTCAATTACTTGACAAGAGGCATCAGCTGCCTCACATCCAACCACCACACCAGAGGAGAGGGGTTAAAGCAGAACTTTAAAAATAGGCACCCACTTATAATATAAAACAATTATAATTCCAAAATGTGCACATGTTCGTCAAATCTGGCAGCGGTCTGTTTATTTTCTCTGTTTATTTTGTCTGCAAATGCTAAACGCAGGAGACTAGAAAGATACAAATATAGGCAGACTGATGGGCTTCTAGAATTACAGCTGAAAGGTCAGGGCGTACTGGGCTAAAGAGGATTGTGAAGTGAGAACGTCCCAGGTCTCATGCCAGACACAGCGGGATTAGAGCAGGAATGTGCCGCGATTTGGGTCAAAGCAAGGGAACCGACTGTTGATTGACACGGGGTCACAGCCAGATGAACTCTTCTGGCTGGCAAACCACACGGCAACAGTGTGCACAAGGAATGTTAAAACATTATTGGAAAAAATTAGTTTAAAAATTACGGATATTTTTGTTATTAAAAAAAACAATGCCAAATCCTTGGCTTTAGGCAGCTGCACAAAGCATTTGCAAAAAGATTGCAAAGTTTTAAGGCTGGATTTTGTTGGAAGTTTTTGACAGTTATATTGGCATTTGTACATTACAGGATGCACAGGGGATGGAAAGAATGGAAGGGTTGTTGGAAAAATGGACAGGGAAAACACGGAATGTGAGAAACATATGGGCTTATGAGTGGAAAATGCAATTCATGAAAAATATCACTTATAATCCACTTTGCTGCAATTGTACCTCATTATACAAAATAATAAAACCCACAATGTTCTTTGGAAATTAATTTAAATGCACAGTTTACGGAAAAGAACATAATGGAAGTAAATTACTATAACATTACCATAAAATAACTATTTACATTTTGCTTTAATTCTACGGTTTCAAGAGCAGACTCTTAAGCCCGTAACTTAGCTCGAGTAATTTTCTACCACTTATTTTCTAAGTAGAAACTTCTCCTTTTCGATGTTCATAACATTCAATGTGTGCGATCGATGACAGGAATGACAATGGTGATGGAAACGACAATGGTGATGCAACTGCTGCTGTAGCTACTGTTGCTGCAACTGCTGCTGTAGCTACTGTTGCTGCCGACGATGATGATAATAATATTACAACTGTTGCTCCTGCTGCAATTGCTGTTGACGCTGCCACTGCTGCCCACGATAAGACTGCACACAAAAAGGGTATTCACCTGCTCCAGTATGGACGTGTGCAAGTTTTCCTCCAGCTTAATCTGCAGAATGTGATTGGGATGAGGAGGGGCTCCCTCCGAGAGGTAGGGCCGGTATCCAGAGAGCAGGTATGACAGGCAGATTCCAGACGGACCGTTGCCTGCCCGGGGGACAAAGACGGACAAGGATGGAGGCGTGTGTGTGAGCGCACACCCGCAAAACATGCGAGGCGACGCGCGCCGTTACGTGTGAATGCGCGCGCAGCGTGCTGTGCGTCCACCACTCGTGGAGGAGCGTCGCTTGCACAAAGCACACACCGTGACGGCACTGTGGCACGCTGCATAATTTTTTTTTAAATCACGTTTATACGTGGCATTTTAAACACAAGTAAATAACGTTCATATACTCTACTGTACACAGTTGAGGGATGCTGCTGCAATGGTACAATAGTCAACACACTGGACTTGCAATACAGAGGTTGCCGGTTCGATTTGATCTTCCAGCGTGGCATTTGAAACAATGAGGAAAATTTATTCTGTCCACCCAGCAGTATAAATGGGTACCCCAGTTTTTTTGATTTGCAGGTCGCGTGCCGTGTGGGTCAAGTGTGGACACTCGTACCTCGACAGTCATTTGACCAGCGAAAAAAAGAGCAGGAAGGCAAAAATACCTTCTCCTCGAGAGGGGCCCTTTAGAGCTCCCGCAAGTTGAGGCCCTTCAGCCAACAGTGGCATGAGCAAGCAATTGCTGGGCTGTACCTTTTATTTTTTAATGGCAGAATACAATATGAAACACAGGCTGCACGCACTGTAAAGTGAAAACACCACACCGTCGCAAAAACGCGCACAAGCAGCCTGCTCGCAAAGAGACACAGCTGGACATTCATCGGCACGCACAAAGCCGGCAACGAGCATCATGAATGAACAAGTGAGAGGCATTGCCCATGATTACGCTTCCCTCCCACAATCTCGACCCCCTAGCCCACATTACTCACCGATGACCACGACGGGAACCGTGACGGAGCCATCATCGGGCAGAAACCCAATCTGCTCGTGCGACATTGTGAAGCTGCTGCCGCCGCTGTTACAACTGGAGAAACAGCCCACAGCGTATGCTTCTCCAGCCGTCTCCTCTCCGACAGCCGCTCCGTCTCTCTCTCCCCCTCCCGCGCTCTCTCCCTCTTCTCCCCCTTCTCTTGATGCGTTCTCTCAGCCGGCAAGGTCACAGACACTTGATGAGGCAAGACTTTCCTTTCTGGCTCCTCTTGTAAGTGTTTCCTCCTCTGCAAGGCATCGCAGTAATGCACGAGGTTAACAGGCGCAGGGAAACGAATCAGACGCTCAAGTCATCTGGGTGGTTTTCTCCCTCTCCGTGGACAAAGCAATAGGAGAACAAAAAAACACCAGTTCTGTCTAAAACAAATTACAGAGTACAGCGCCGCATATCACAGTAACTGGGGACTAAAGTATAGGTGGATATGTGAAAATATCGAATATGTGAGTATCCATAAGAAAGGGAAGTTACATGGCGCATAAAAAGCTTACTGGAGACAAATTACGTGTGCAAGCTGCTTTAAACGTGGGGAGATTCTTTTCCTGTACTGTACTTTTCGAAGTGATCAAATCTACACGTGCATAAGAAACAAATTTCCACACGTATGAAAAGGTCAGATTTGTCACCTAGAGAAATTGATTTGCACCGTGCACACATACTGCACTGGTGATTAATAGGTCAGAGCTTATATGTATGTCAGGTTGGCTGTGTGATGCACGGATAAGTGACATTACTGTATTATTACATTATATTTGACAAAAAAATGTGTCATGATTTTTAAAACTGTCTATGACATTCTGAAGTAGACCAGACGCTGTTAAGCATTAAATATATTTATATACATTTATTAATAGTATGCCTAAACAACTAGCATTACAGAACATGATTTCCATTGCTCACATAGGAAAACGTTACAAAGTTTCGTTACAAAGACTTATTTTCATATTTAGCACAATCCTTTTTTTTTTACATAATTTGTGTGGAGGTGGGGGAGGTGTGAATCCACAAATCCATGGAGGAAAACCCAAACTTTCACACAAACCGTGTACAGAAATAGCTGCTCGACAGATTGGTTGCTCTCGACAGCCACCAGTTTTCTTTTTGCAATGCAATGTTATGCCAATGGCAAAATCCAATTTTCTTGTAATCAATTTAAAACAAAAACACACATCATGATAATAATTTGGTTTACAAATTTACATCACAGCTGTCCCTGTGTGCACCAGGTGTGAGCTCAGTACAGTATTAGTCTGCCAGTAGGGGGCAATTATTGCTCTATATTATCCCAAGCATTGCATGTTCCAAAAATAGTATGATCATATTAAATGTAAAAACCTGAGCTCAATGTAGCATTAAAAACAAATAGCTCAAAATAATCCGAAAACCAAAATACTAAAAACTAACCACCTGACACTGTCCACCCGATTGCTTTAAAAAGGTCACTCTAAAATGCACTTCCTAGCATTTCCGCACATTTTTTTCTCTCCCAATATCCGAAGGCGACCAAGTTTAAGAAGAATGCTTTGGCATTCCTGTCCACAGCTGAACCCGGAAGTTGCCTAAAAATAGAACGCAGCCACCTTCCTGGGCAAGTCCCATGTGTGGACTCGGGTTTTAGTGCACAGCCAGACCACGCACTCGCACATACAAGTGTAAACAAGAAAGCACAACACCCACACACGCGCTCGCACGTACACACGGCAAGCACACGCACGCACTCGTCCGTACACGCAACCGCAAACACTACCTCTGAAAGTTTCCTGCCTCTGGAATTTTCCTCGTGGGTTCTGTCTTAATTCAGCAACTGCAAAGGAAGGGCCTCCAGTCGATATGGACTTGAGCTTAATAGCCACCGACCTGCATGTTAAATGCTTGTCACAGCTTCAATTTAAACTCAAACATTCTGTATACCAGCAGCACTAAAAATGGTAAAAAAAAATATTGTGTCTGCATTGGTGTTTCTTTTATGCCAAGCAGACTTGTGAGCCTCATTAGAAACCATAAACTGGCTAAGCGCCATGGGAAAGCAATTCGCGCTCTTAAGTGCGCTTGTGAATCACCGAATGCATTTATAAGTAGCCGTGCTTCAGGGTATTCACAGCGTTGGGTTTATTATTTGAAGGAAAAGAGGATATGTCAGGATAGATTAAAAAAATGACAGTATTTTTTTTGTTCTATGTTTGCACAAAAAAATATCACTAAGCTGCACTGAGACATTTGGCTGGCCAAGGACAAAGGCCAACCAACCATTCATTCCGTTGCGCTTTTCCAATACGTGCACGCTGAAGTGGCTTCGTACAAACGTAGAGGGTAAATTATTATAACGCCAAAAAACAACGCGCCATTGAACGCACCGCTGCAGTCGTACCGCAATTAGTAAACAGAGCGAGAAAAAAAATCCCACAGCAATGAAACTCCGGCTGCCGCCGCGCACCATGCTGCAGAGAGGAAGCTCCTTGCTCATCACTGGGCACAGGCACAGAGCGGGGATTGTGTGGTGAGCGTGGGTGGCGTGGGAGGGCTCCATCACCGAGAATAACCCGCGGCGCCGGGGCGAGTGGTGGCCCCAGTGTTATTTAAACACGCGCGGCGTGCACGCCGTGCATCGCAATAATCACACCACCGGGTTCAACCCTGGGTGACTAGGTTTTGCAATCAGGTTAAATTCAAGCAGATTCACACACTTTCTTTTCCAGAGGTCAAGAATTAATGCTGGAAAATATATGCATTGGATTACGTGAGTTGCCAAACGTTCATTATTCGCTCACTTTCATTCTTTTTTACGTGGAAATGCCTCCATTATCAAGAATACATTTGGAAAACAGCCGAAGAAATTTGTTTGGGTCATTGTCAAGATTTGAAAATCTGGCTTTTTGTCTTTCAGAAGTAAAATTTCCTACTGGCTGTTCATTTTGACAATGAAAGAGCTCATGGTTACATTATACTAATGCTTTTTTTCAATCCGCTGTTGGATGAAGGATTTCCCACATGGTGTTGTTATGAGGCTTTTTTATATCTCACATGTCGAGCAGAACGGGTTGGTGAAGGTAGTGTGCGCTTACGAGTGATTCAGTCTTCACCTGCCAGCGATGTTGGCTGTGGCCTGGAGTTTAACTCGGGTCACGAGATTCATGGCGCAGTGAAGAATAACCACGGTATCATTGCCCTCCGCGGTTATACAATATCAACCCAAATATAACACAGCAGTCCACATGACTGGCCCGGAATAATATATTACAAAAATACGGGTACACCGCAGACTCTGCCGCATGTGGTGGGGAAAAGTGTGAGCGCCCCCCCCTTCTTCAAACACATCTGCAGGGCGAAGAGCTCCCTCAAGTGGGGTATTTCCGCCAGCAATGGTGTGAGCAAGCGATTGCAATGGTTCACCTTGGCCTGTTAACCTGCAGCAAATATGGCTGGAAAGTCCTGCATTGCTTATGCGTGATGAGTCAAGAGAAGATTTCTCTGCAATCTCAAGACGGTTCCTCGACAGGTTTGGTGCTCAATGCTCTGGCAACCACTGCGGATCGCATATGGCACAGCTCCACGCCCGCAGTGCAAGGTGCCCAGGCAGTCACAACCACGCAGATGAAAACGCGCCGACGCAACCGCCTGCAGCGACCCAATGCTGCACATACACACACCTCACAGAATCAACCTAAGCTAGCGAGGGCAATGAGAAAAAAGTAGGAGCGATGTACCGTGGGTGCCAAACTGTTAAACACATACGTGCGTCGAAAAAGGGGCTGGATGACACCTCCACACTCATGGCGAAATTAAGAATCTCTGTGACACACCGCCCACCATACCCGAACCAACCAGAATTCTGCAGCGCATGGATTGCATTGCCAGATGCCATGGATGCACGCGCACACACCCGCAGCGCAGCCGAGTATCTGGTGACATGCGGATGAGCCCATGCGTGTGCGTCCCTACGTAGTAGTGAGTGAAGCATTTGCTGCACGTACGCACTGTATGGGAAACCGCAGTTTACCCTGGAGGGCTGGAGGGGCGATTCGCGGTGACTCAGCTGTGTCAGATGTGCAGTAGCTGTTTACAGCAAGGAAAAAACAGATTCCCGTTACTTTGTTTTTTTTTGTAAAGTCACGTAGAAATAATAAATAAAATTATATAATAGCATACGACGTTTCGATCGCAACACAAGCAATCATCAACAGGTAGAGGAAACATATAACCGCAGACAGACCTTAAGTAGGGAGAATTAACACAGATATACCAAGGGATACAGAGAGACGGAACATCACACTAAATCAAACAGGGTTTAGCAAAATTTGGAAACTATATAAAGCAACACAAACGGTCGGTTAAAACACAATTAACGCATGGTTTGGTTGAATACGCTGTTTCAAAGATTGTTAAATTGTAAGTTTAGTGTGATTTAACAATCTTTGAAACAGCGTATTCAACCAAACCATGCGTTAATTGTGTTTTAACCGACCGTTTGTGTTGCTTTATATAGTTTCTAAATTTTGCTAAACCCTGTTTTATTTAGTGTGATGTTCCGTCTCTCTGTATCCCTTGGTATATCTGTGTTAATTCTCCCTACTTATGGTCTGTCTGCGGTTATATGTTTCCTCTACCTGATGATGATTGCTTGTGTTGCGATCGAAACGTCGTATGCTATTATATAATTATATTTTTTTATTATTTTTTGTTATTTCTACGTGACTTTACCGAAAAAAAACAGAGTAATTCCTGCAGTTACGAAAGCGCCTAATCAAGTTAGATTCCCGTTACTCATTACTTAAAACACAATCCCAAAATAATAATAAAACACTATCTTTCCGTGTGACTCATCCAACACGTGGTGACCTTAATAAGTTAAGGGCTTAATCCCAAGCATGATTAAATGAACCACAAGAGACATTGCTCAATGGAGGTGGCTTGTGTAGTAAAATCTAGGTCGGACGCAGATTAGGCTTTTTATACTTAACACCAATTTGCATAGTCTTGTTAAGTACCATTGCTGGCTTAATAATAGAACAAATAATTTAGTCTACACTCATTGGTTCTTTCGGTAAAGTCAAGTAGGTATAAAATAAAATCACGACGTTTCGGGCGCAACACAAGCGTCCGTCATCAGGTGGGACAACCACAGCAAGAAACAATTGCTGTGGTTGTCCCATCTGATGACGGACGCTTGTGTTGTGCCCGAAACGTCGTGATTTAATTTAATTTATACCTACGTGACTTCACCGAAAGAACCAAAAAGTATGGATCCCTGCAGTCACGAAAACTTCAAATCTAGATATAATTTAGTCTGTTGGTATTCGCGCCATTCCATTCTTACAAGGCAAAGCTATCACGAAGGACCTACAGTTTACTTTAGACGTGTGTGCTGCTCTGCTGGACTGACAGCCACTGCAGTCAGGCAGACCTAGTGTCTGTGAGTGATAAAGACACCGATCCAAGTTGAAATCCATCCCAGAAATAAACCAGTGAACACCCAATGTAGTTTCTTGGTATCGTATACACACAGATGACCTCGGCTGAGTGAGTGAATGATTTAAATTCCCATCATGTTCCAGAACTACAATGCTGGAATTGGGCACAAGCACAATATAATCTTCTAACTTGACAAAATCTACAAATTGTTTGAAATTGGTCCACGCAGAAAGAATGGCGCATAGGTTTGAATGAGATATAAACTGGTTTAGGTGTTCTGCTAAATCCTGAAAAAAAACACAATCCCCATCATCAGCGAATCGAGTAATTCACCTCCTGTTATGATGCTGAAGCTGACAGAAAGCGGATGCAGCCTGTTGCAAGTTACGAGTATGTACATAAAAAGCATGCAGTGATGCTTAGAGATAAAGAGAACATGGAGAAAGTAGGTGGGCATGGACTCGCCACTGATGGTCACTCATGGATAAGAATTTCGGGACATCAAGTTCGTAGCGTAGTGCTAGTCACTGCGTGACACCGCTCCACCCATTGTCCATAATCAGAACCACGCCTGTGACCTCACACAGATTCCCATTGCAGTGTTTCCCAACCTCCAGGAGCCACGGTCGTCCCCCCACATGAGGGTTCACATTTCCTCTATTCACATGCAAATGCCCACGCCAATAAGTCCATGAATTAGGCCCTGCTGCTTTACACTGTCGCCGGTTGTTTTGGCTGACGCTGAAAGACAAACCGGCGTTGCGAAGGCTGGAATGCTTTGCGTCGGAATTGCCCAACTCTGCCAGCAGCAACGGGCGATCAATCCTCGCCTTGCACCACCCGTGGGGTTGGGGATGGTGTTCGGTTAGCATGAAACCCCGCTCCTTAGCTGTGGTAAATGAGGACGCTAGCTCCTTAACCGACCTATCACCCACTCCCTACCACGCCCTCTCAAGGCCACCTTTTTTTTGCCCGACTGCAGAGGACCCTGTAACCTCGCGCCATCCATCAGATCCGACACAAAACATCACAGTCAGACTTTGTGGTAATCACAAAAGACTTAGTGAATAACTTAGAGTCCGGAACAGTCACATTAACAGCACGCTTGATATATAAATGCACTTTGATTTAAAGCTTGCGTGACTGCAGGGAATCATATTCTTGGTTCTTTCGGTAAAGTCACGTACAATATTTTTTTTTAATATTTGTATTATTTTATTGTTTCCCTTCTACGTGACTTTACCGAAAGAACCAAGAATATATAAATGCATGTCTAAACATGCATGATTACGCAGCCTGACCTAGTTGGTATGCAATGAAGGAGAATCCTGGATGGGTTGAGGTTCAATAAAGGATGGAGGTATGACAAATAATACGGGAGTGTCAGTTGATCCTGGAAACTTGGATGTGCCTCTATGGTACGCGGCGGCTCCTCAGCACAACATTCGATTGTGTGATTATGAAATTATTGAGTTCATTTAGTCACGGTGTTTTTGTATTACTACTAGAACACATGACATGGAAACAATGATACAACTTTGTAGCAGCATTTGAATTTGGCTAAAAATGTCCCTAGCTTGCTTGGTGACTAAGACGTTTTTCTTAAAACTATTAAATAAAAAACAATCAGACTTTGCAGCTAATGTATTCGAGTTCTCTCTGGACTGCTAAGTTTTGAGATAAAAGAATCGAGATGAAGTCTGGAATGAAGGTGGAGGGGGGGGGACAGGAAGTTTGATGATTGGCGAAAGGCCCATGGCACTGCAAGGCAAAAGTGCAGATGTACACACAGATAAACGAGCACTAAACAACCATAAAAGATTAACAAAACTATTAATTAGCTCGTGATCTTGACACTACGCCCCGTGGTTACAAAACCAAAATTGTGTGTAGACGCGCTACATTCTTCCACACCACAATGCTGCAAGGCAGCTTTTTACGCCTGCCTACGACTTTTTCCATTCGTACGGATATCGGACATCAATGCGCACCCAGTATACGTGGCAATATGAATGAATGCACACTAATTTTATCGAATGTAACTGGGCAAAGTTGAGCAATAATGCAGCGCATGGAGCCATGGTGTCAAAAAGAAGTTGAGAAAGATCTCTCGTCCAACCAGTTATAACCGTCACTTTTGGCAGGATGTTGCCGTTTAAGCAAAGCGTGATCACGCTGTGAAGGGACATCCCTCCTTTATTTGCATTCTTTTCAATGAAGGATGTGAATTTAGCAACAAAAATAAGTCTGACTGGTAGGCTAAAATGTGGCAGGACTGGAGGAGTTGTAAAGATCTAACAGTGGGCACTAACGGGACATGCACGAATTGCTCAGCTGTCGAGACACAAATGAATGCCCGGCTGTCTTCTCAGAACAGACTGTACTGGAAATAAATATATAGCCCAGACAGTACGAAAGACGCCGACTCGGACGCATCCGGGCAAATTAAAGCTGCCTCTAATTCAGTTGCTAGGCTCTTGGCCAGATCCATGCAATTCTCACTTTCATAATTAGCTGTTTCCTCACTTGAAAAACACTTTCAAATGCTGAGCTAAGTCATGGGGCATTCAGTCACGTATTAATGCGATTTATGCAATGCAAAGTTTAATAACGCCACTGTAGCTGGTACACACAGATGCCGTAATACAGCAAATTATGAATTGGCCACTCGTTAATAAAATCTGCCAAACGTTCCAATGCAGATCCTTCCTTCAACAAAAGACTCAGGGAATGTCCTATTTGATTTCAAAATGTTACCTGCTGAGGCGACTTTACATAATCTACTGACATAATTTACTGACAGTGAAATGCACTCCAGGTAAGACTCAAATGTACTTTAGAGAAGACAAAATAATGTTACGAATGGAATGCATAATTGCACTGTACATCATTAAATGATGTATTCTCCCTGCATTTCGTCACAATTCTACCCCCCAGTCCACTTCACTTGGCAGCTTTTTGTTTCTCCCGGCATTATGAAATGAAAGGGCTGACAAGATGATAACAATCACCCGCCATGTGATACCCACTGTCGGATTCGGGTCTCCCCAATCCCTCCCCATCATCCTTCAGTCTCGCAATGCAACAATCAGTCCAGCGTCTTTCTTCACACGAGCTATCTCGTCACTCTCCTCTTCGGCGTGTGGTCCTTCCTTTTTGGCCACCACTCCGTTGTTCGTATCTGCCTCCCCAAGATAAGCGTGTCAATGGGCCGAGACTACTGCATTTGGCCATTGCGTAAGCCACCAAACACAACCGTTTGAATGATGGTGACTAAGCCATTCCCCACCACTTGGAATGGCTGCAGTATAGATCATGTGCCAAGTAAAAAGTATTGCGGGTGGTGGAGGGTTACGACATATTTATAAATAACGCGATCTAACCCAAAAACCTTTATTATGAATATTATTGGTCGTGAAAGCCTACGTGTTAAACTGATCATGTGCCGAGTAAAAAGTCTTGCGGCATTTGTATCAGCAGCAAATCCTAAGCGGTGTTCTACTTTCCGAGTCTCATCAGATAGCGAATGGCCAATGTGAATCTTTGCCGATAAAGTGTGATATGGGAATTGAGGATGTTTGACACATGTAATGCGAAGAGCTCACAACTGTTTCATGTGACAGCCTATGCCTCTTGAAATGGTGTAATTTTAATGGTAACATTGTCGCAACAGAAATGTGGAGCAAGTTCACTTCAATACAACAACAGTACTCTGCTCAAGCGTGCATTTTCTTTTCGATTGTGCTTTTTTGAATGTGAGCAAAAAGCACATCGAAAAAGTGCGCGAAGAAACAAAGAGCAGAGGGGCCTCCGATGAAAGAACTGACTGCTACAATGTGGGGAGCCGCCACCAAAACGTCTACTACGTACGACCACCCTCGCGCACAAGTCTGGGCATCAAGTGCCCACGCAAATAACTACTTGGACGTCCAGATCAACAGCGTCGTCCGAAAAATAACTGGACAATATTGGAACGCACTCCCACCAAGTGGCTCTCTATCCGTTCTGGCCAACATTACGCAAGCAAACCTCCGGGTGGGATGCCTCGACATAAAACCGACTGTTCTCCACGTTGAGTGCAATGTCTTTAAAAGCAGCGCTATGCTTCTCTAAATAAGCCAACGCTAACCGCTCGCACGTCGCGAGATACAGCGGTGAACGGGACCCACCCTGCAACTTGCAGACGTCTCGGAACGGGAAAGGATGAAAGCGTCATCGAGGGCCCCACCACTGCTCCGCACGGCTCTGTTCTGCCAAGAAAACTGTGGTGGCTCCATCAACCGCTTCTCAACAGGGACCGCTCGCTGCGCAAACACCTCTTCCACAATTGTACAATTATACTGGTAGGAACGAAGTTGTAAACTGAGTGTACCAGCCTGCAATAGATTAATGTGTCCGTCCGTCCGTGCCCTTTCAATACTTTAACGAAGTGAAATCTCGTGCTGTTGGGTGTAAAATCAGCAATAGACAGCGCAGAGACTTGATATGTCTTATCGCACCCAACATTTGGAAGTCACATGATCTCATTTGCGAACTTCTACCAGCCCACCCTGCAGGGACCTGTTAGATGAATCACAGTGCAGTGACCGCGGCCAGCTGAACCAAACAATGGACCACATCGCGAACAACTGAATTCTTCTCCGGTTCTCTGGCGGACTGAACAATATCAGTTATGCACCTCCCTAACCGAGATGGCCCACAAACTTAAACCTGGGCGTATAATTGACACGTACTTGCCATACGCTAGAAGAATGTATCCCCTACAACCGTGTGCATTGCTTTAGCACATGGGGATGACGATTATAATGATGGTGATCCGTATAAACTTATAAAACATTTGTGGACTTGTCTTGGGAGAGAGATATATTACAGTTATTGGCAGGTGCATCGTGGAGCAGCTGCAAACAGCCTTGATCAAATTACCCTGAATTTGGCCAACCATATCAGCCACTTAGAATCATGGAAGCCAAATATTAACTGAGCCAGGTTCGTGATTTGAATGGGACAGTGCCTGGGATTACCAGATGTTGAATTCAGGCTTGGGCAGCGACATGGTTGCCAGGAGATGACGGTACAGCAATGGATTCTTGAATCCATGCGTGTAGAGCTGTGTTCCCCCGTCAAATGGATGGTGGGGGTTTTTTTTCTCTCTCTCTCACTCTACGGTTTCCTCCCACGTGAATAAGCCACGCAATAATGGAACTGACCAAAACATCCCAAATGTTATCAGGAAACACTCCTGATAAAGGAGTCTTGGAACCGAGTGAAGCATTCCTCGATAGGTAAAGGACAATCATCATCAACCACGGTCAATCCATTGGATAGAGGCATTCTAAGGACAAAGGATTTTAAAAAAAGGATGTGATTGTTATTCTCATGTGGACAACGTTTCCTGACTAACGGCACCATCACGCTAAGCACGTGGACAGCAACAATCCCACCCCCCACCCCACCAGACGAATGATGCTGCAAGTCAGCCAGATAGATTACATCACACGCGCGTCCCACTTTTCGCGGTTATCAGTAACAACATCAATTTAGTAAGAAACGTATGTAGCCCGAACACACGCAGATTCATTAAAATAACAGCCGCAATGCTATGATTTGTACACGTCTTAACATCCTTCCGATCACTGCGACTTGACGAATCGTTGAAGTTGTCACTTCACGGTACAGAACAGTTTGACCGAGACGTCGATATATTTTTTCCGGCGATTGAAACGTTCCAAAAGTGACCAATGTTGCCACAGTCTTCACACACAGCGAATGTATTGAATGACGCCATTATATCCGTTATGGGTAAAGACAATTTGAAACCATTTTGTTCAACATAGCTACCGTGATATCGTTATATAACAATATCGTATCTACAGTAATATAAATATTAAAACATAAGAATGCTTTAGTATTAGACACACGTGTACTCTATGCATTGAACGGGCATCCCGCTATCTTTACTGCGTTTATAATTACCCGGAATTTTACTGCCACGTAAAGAGGAAAAGGAAATGATAAACACATTCAAAATAATTAACGTGGCTAATCGCGTGCGAACGTAATCATGACACACACACAGTTACTACAAAATAACTGATGCACATACACAGTTACTTCACAGTAACGGTGCGTGATGCATCACGGTACATCACACACGCCACGGATAGAACACGTACAGTACACATGGCACAGAAAACAACCACCACGCAATGACACGCTAACAGAGCGCCGAATGGTGATATGACATTGTGGTGGTGGTGGTGATGATGGTGGTGGTGGATGGAGGTGATTGACGGTTGTGTGGAAGGTGATGGTTGGTGGTGATGAGGGTGGGTTGATGGTGGCGATTAGGAAAGCGATGGTGGTGGTGAAGATTATTGCTGGATGTGATGATGATGGTGGTGATGATGTGCTTGATGTTGGTGGTGTTGCAGTGATGTGTAGCTACGTACGGAGGAGTCGATGAAGCCGGGTTTCGCAAATGGCAGCAGGGGAGCAGGTGGCGGCTAAATCGGTGAAAGTGGTGGTCGCGAGTGTTTATTAACACGGTAGACCACCGACGCGTAGAATAATTTATACAAAAAATATATATATCATATAAATATAAAATGTACTCGTGCCTTCTACCTAACCTCTTAAGTGTCTGCGCGTATTTACAGTTACAAATATTGTGTGTGCGCGTGTGTGGTCTAACAGCTTTGCGTATCTACACGTAGATATCGATCGATATATTAGTGGTATTATTATTATAGCTGAATCCGGTCCTCTCGCTCGCGTTATTCACGGCGCTTAAGCGTGCACCCTCCTCGCTCTGCCGCTTGCACTCTTTAATGAAACACACGCGAAAAAAAAAAACCCCGACAGCGGCAGTTATCATGAACACGAGAACACACAAACCCAGCCCAAGCAAAGCACGGACCCGGTGGGCTACAATCCGTCAGCCCAAGCCGGCTGTCAAACGCAACGGCTGCAACACGCAGCGCGCGTGCTCGCACGCGATGTAATAGGTTGCCACTTGGCACAGGTGCGCGTTATACAACGCACTGCGTCACAAATGCACACAGTGCCACCGTTGTCATCGATGGAGGGGGGGGGGGTGGAGAGGCTTCTAGCAAGGAGAGAAGCTTAACGAGTCGAATGCGTGCACGCTATGTGACACCGGCGGTGGCGGCGGCGGCGGCAGCGACACTGTACCAAAGCACGTGTAAAAATTTGTCTTTGTGGGGAGGACGCGACACCGCACAGTTCCTTATAAACTGCACGCGTGCGTTGTGGAGGGGGGGGGTGGACACGTGGTGGTGGTGGGGGGGGGTCCGGAGCGCGTGAGGCCTTTATCAGCTTTGGGTGGGGGGGGGCTCCCGCGGGGTGGGGCTACTGGGTGGGGGGGGGGCTCCCGCGGGGTGGGGCTACCGTGGCGTTGTGGGAGGGGGGACTTTTCCCGCGTGCGTATGATTCAAAAGGGGTGGGGGCGTGTGGGGGCTGAGGTGACAATTGGGCGTGGCCGGAGTATGGCTTTGGGCGGGGCATAGCGTGCTTGGGGCGGGGGCTGGTCGCGGGGGATGTTGTGCAATGGCGGTGGGCGGGGGCTACTTCGACGTTGGGGGCGTGACGTTTGTGGGTTTGCAGAGGGGGGCGGGGACCGAGGGGAGTGGGCGGGGCGAGTCGAGAAGGTTCTGTGACGGTGCCCCGCGTCTATTCCGGGGAGGTGGTGAGGCCGTCAAAACCAAACCGGCCAGCCCAGCCAATGGCCGCTGTCTCATGGTCGTTGTCATGAGTCACGGTCAACTGGTCAGTTCGCGCACGCATGAAATGCCCTGCCCCAAGCCATCCGGGCGGAGCCTCGTAGCTTATCGGATTCCTCCCGGTGTAAATAAATATTCGCATCTTGACCATTTATGGAGCGCTTTTGTGCATGCACTTGATTTAAAACAAAATTTTAAACAATTTTTTTTTAGCTCAACGAAGTGGCTTATCAATGTGGAAATTAATAGCAGCCAAATACTCGAAACGCATGTGTCTAATTGTGGAGGTAACATCCGGAGTACCCGGAGAAAAATCGACACGACCACGTGTAGAAATATACAGGCATCAGGGTCGGGATCGAACCCACGACATCCTGTATACCTGGCGAGGTAGTTAATATCTCGCTACCATGGCGCCCCATCATTGCTCCATCTCCCCGCTGGATGTCCTCTGGTCCTAGCTTCCCACATACTCAATCCAGACTTTACCAACGTCTATTACCACCCTCCACGGTGCTTATTTAATGTTGATCTATCTACTCTGTTAAGTTACAAATTACTGCAAGGTATTGCGTGCTGGCACGTACTTGGTTGTTAAACACATCGCACTAAGGTATATTGGCCTTTCTCTTCCAAACTGGCCAGGTGTCTGGAAAGAGGTGGGAATGCCCACACTTAACCTCCACCACCGTGACCGGCGATGCGTCAAATGGGTAAAGAACTCCAGTGCCCTTCTACTGAACGACCAGCTAAGCCTAGAGCGCATCGTAGCAGTTTTGAAGCGTTAGGTGGGCACGTCAAAATCCAGCCAACGCGTGCGCTCATTGTTTCAAGCGGGTGGCTGTGACGTCCCCCGTCGTTGGGAGGCTGAGAGCGTCCTAACACCACCGTTCAACACTACAAATACAAGAAGAATGCACCGGGGCCTTAGCAATCTAGGATACATGCTCACCAATGCCTTTGCAAATGTGTCAACGGTTTTGTCGGGAAATGTGCTAAACACACATCGACGTTAACTTATCTGCTACCTTTGTTCTTGGCATGCTGACAAGGTCAGTGCCCATCAGCTGCCAAGGTCGCAACGCCACAACAGGCCTAAAGCGGTGGAGGCAGTCCTTACATTCCTCATAGCTTTCCACCCATAGCTTTACACCATGTTATTCCTCTGCAGTAGAATTGTCTAGCCATAACCAGCTGCATTTTTCGACAGCTCCCAATGGCCAGACCCACCACCATGACACTACCTCACAGCCTCCTTCTGCTCTTCCTCGTTCACGTAGCGACGAATCCAAGCATTTGTATGCCATCTGAATAGCTTTCCCTCCAACGATTTAAACGCTTCTGCGCACTTCTTAACATTGCACCTTTGCTGTCTGGTGTGCAAAAGGGGCAACGATGATGCCACGCCGTAAGAATGTATGTATTCGTGTGTGCCCCCCATTTCTGCATAAAGTTTGGAGACATGCGTCAATGTAAAAAAAAACTACTTTCGCAAAGGTTCTGTGGCAGAGGCCTGCGGACTGGTGCTGTCCGCAAGCCACAGCTTTGAAATGTCTTGGGAAAAAAAAGCGAAAATCAAGGGTCACTATCCAGTATTTGTTATCCGACTCAAAAGCAAAGCCGTGACGCACAGCGGAGTGCATAGGTTCAGTTTGGATCTTGGTTACACGCATAGACGTGCAGTGTTGCCCTGGGTGCAGGCCATGTGCTGGCGATAACCATACAGCAAAGGCCGATTGCGTAACCTAGTTCACACGTGGCAATGGTAGCGGGCACTTTTGTTCATACGAATCCAACAGAAAAATAACGAGGAGTAACGTGGCTCACACATCAGTCATTGGATGGATGAAATATGGGCGTATCTTCTCGCCATTGCTCATCTGCAAACCATTGCTCATCATTACAGCCATTGAACAACTCCGCACACACACTTTTGCCATCAATAAACAGCTTTACAGGACACGAAAAAAAGCACCGTATCAACACTGTCCACCTGCGCGCTGACCTGAAACGGACATCAGAATACCATTGCTTCGTATGCACTCAATCACAGAATCGAGGTTAAGCACAGGAGCGACATTAATATTCCGGTTAATCACTGCATTGATTCAAGAGATCCATAGATCAGGTCATCCCATTGATTCATTGTCGAGTCGTGTGATTTATGAGTGCCCGGCTAATTTTTGTGATTTCGCCACAGTCTGATTGTATCTTGTTACAGCCCCAAGCCAGAATGCTCTTCCCATTAAATACACTCGTGCCGATAAACGAACTCATTTCTACTTATGGGCGGATTTAACAAACGTTCTCATTCGCCAGAGAATGAACTTGGTTTCCAAGTCCAGTGTGCTAACAATCGCACACCGCGGCATTTCCAAATTGCTACTGTATAGCCTGTACCATATTTTAATTAGAAATGGAACTTGCTATTTTGATTCAATGCCGTTAATGGAAAATCACACGCACAACGGAAGACATTTCTAAACTAATCCAGCCACGATCGGCGTTGTCATCAAGACATGACCGAGGATTGTGACAGTTTTCCAACTCCATTAAGCGTAAATCTTCCAAACTAACAAAAAAATATTCACTAACTTACTAAGTACAGTAATACTATAACTATTTTTTTTACTATTTTTTTATTTTACCATTTAAGGCCCACTGAGCTATATAGCTCTTTTTCAAAAGTGACCTGGCCACAAATGATAGCACAACGAAGTGGCCTATTTAAAATGTATAGCAGCCAAATACTCTAAACGCACGTTTCCAAATGTGGAGGGAAAAACCGACGGACCAAGAGAGAAATACACGCGACTACTGGGAGAATATGCAACCTCCAAATACACAGGCATCAGGGTCGGGATCAAACCCACGATCTCTTGCATAGCAGGTAAGGTAGTTAACATCTCGCCACCGTGGCGCCGAATATAATGGGGGTTACATTCCTGGAAAATGCCGTGTTGGGCAAAACTGCGTTCGATAAATAATAGACCTAATGGACAAAATATTGTTGCTTTCTAGGGTCCGAAATAATAAAGAAACATAAACGTAACCTACATTGTAAAATAAAAGTTGCGATATATAATGAAGTAAAAGACATTTAACCCAACGTGTTTCTTTTACTTACAATGAACGATGATGGTGATGATAAAGGTGAAGATGATGTCGGTAGGGGTGCTGGAGGGGAGTGAACCCGCATGGGAGTGTTGGGGAGGGAAGACGGCGATGAGATATTCATCCAGGGTATCTACAAGCGGACCGTGAATGATTTGTCCGCGCGAAGTTGAGAATATTAGCAGCGTCAAACCCGTATAGCCAAAACATGGCCCCCGTGTTGTGGAAAACATACCTCAATAAGTAAACCGTGCGAAGCCGGAACAAGCATTCAATAAAACAGCGTTGGGCAAGGAACGAGTGCATAATTAAATGTATCTTCTTTAGTCTTCTGCCACATCGCAGGTCTTTGGCTCAAACCTCATCCTGTCGGATCATGTTTTGAACTTTCATTTCACCCCCCCCCCCCCCACATCACCACCCCCAACATGAAGCTAAGCAGTGTTTTTTTCTTATTCTGCCA